ACACACTCTTGTGTGTTACAGCCTGCTCAGTGTTTTATAACTAAGGTGTCACTTTATTTTTAAGCTCATTTAATAAGACAAGTTGAACCAGAACAGACTCATTTGGAGCAGCATAGAAACACATACAGTACACACATGGATCACTGTGTAGAGCTATGGGCAGCTTCTGCACAACTTCTATAATTAATTAAAGTCCCACTCCAGAAACATTTTCATTTTTATATTTGTATATAAAAATACTTTACTATAAACAATATGCAGTCTAACACAGCTTTTCCTCAAAAAAATTTCAGTGGGCCTCTGTAATAGGAATGAACATTGCCCCTCATTGTGCATTCCAGGATCTATGAATGTTGCCGTCATCCCTTATGTGGATTTGAATAATTTTGCACGCCCAATTTTTCAGTTTTTTATTTGTTAAAAAAGTTTGAAATATCCAATAAATTTCGTTCCACTTCATGATTGTGTCCCACTTGTTGTTGATTCTTCACAAAAAATTACAGTTTTATATCTTTATGTTTGAAGCCTGAAATGTGGCAAAAGGTCGCAAAGTTCAAGGGGGCCGAATACTTTCACAAGGCACTGTATATAAATATGGATGGTACTTCACCACTTCCTGCCACTATGCAAAAGTCAAACTACAATGATAACAACACGGGGACGGCCATTTTGCTTCTGTGGCACATTTTGCAATTACATTAAGCACAGTAGCGACCAGAGGTATAGCCCTGGTATCAGACTGCCGATCACAGCTGTCAATCATCTGAAATACACCCGTTTTTATATCAGCAAATAACTTATTACAAACAAACTTACCAGAACAGTGATCACATGTACACACATCAGCATGATAATATCTACTAAAAAACACAGAAATCATCTCTGGGAAAAATTGACCTGGTTTGCACTTTGAGTTATGTTGGCTCAGGTTCCATCCACCAACATAGAGGGCGCAGGGTTTATAACCTATATTGCAACCAGCCACCAGGGGGCGATCAGGTCACCGTGGCTTCACTTTTTTTTTATATAGTCTATGGACTAGCCTCCTGCTAACCCCCCTCACCTGTGCTGCTTCTGTAGCAGGATCTTGATGGCGTTGAAGTCGGGCCTTGCGCTCGGCTCTTCGCTCCAGCAGCGCTGCATCAGGACTCCGAGCTCCTCACTGTGACTGTGGAAGCAGAGGGAGGGACGAAGGGGGGAGGCACCACCCTGAATCACAGCCTGGACAATTTCTGGGGAAGGGGACACACAAGGACATCATCGGCTTAACACCTGTCTCACACACAAAAACCCTCATCCTCACGAACACTGTACAGGTGACAGCTGTGTCACATAGCTACTCCAGTACTGCACTTCAGTTTAGAGATATAAGTACTTTACCTCAGCAATCCCATTTTTGGCTACTTTATAGTACTTGTTCCACTACATTTCAGAGGGAAACAACGCAGTTTTAATTTGTTAGTTAAATACTACAACATATGTTGAAGTAAACAAACCATCACAATATACTGAAATACAAAAACTAAATGACATCATAAAATACTGACTTTCATCACTATTGTTGAATGGACTTATTATAGTTACTGGCTTAATTTGTTAAAACAACCTGTTTCTCTGAACATCTGCAGGAGAGACCTATCTCCACATTAAACCAGATCAACTTTTCAGATACGATCGGACAAAACATCTCACACATTGCTGGACCCACTCCGACTCGCTTCTTCTTCTTCTTTCGGCTGTTCCCGTTAGGGGTCGCCACAGCGAATCATCTGTTTCCACCTAACTCTATCCTCGGCATCCTCTACTCTCACACCAATTAACTTCATGTCCTCTTTTAGCACATCCATATATCTCCACTTTGGCCTTCCTCTTGACCTCTTGCCTGGCAGCTCCATCTCCAACATCCTTCTACCAATATAACCACTATCCCTCCTCTGCACATGTCCAAACCATCTCAATCTGGCCTCTCTGACCTTGTCCCCAAAACAGCCAACCTGAGCTGTCCCTCTGATGTGCTCATTCCTAATCCTGTCCATCCTGGTC